AGACAGTGTTAGTGGACTTAGAATCGCGATCAATGCGTAACAATTTATTATTCACGGAATACCAGAGGAAGGCACCGATGAAAATTGTAAGCAAGCTAGCAAAAGACTTCTGCAAAAAAATATATTGAAAATCTCATCCGCTAATGAATTTTGTGTTCGACAACGCACATAGAATTGGGGAGAAAAAAAGGTTCGAAACCCAGACCCGTGGTGGTCAGATTTCTTACTTAGAGGAACGTGAAGCTGTCCGGAAATCGTCCTTTGAAATGTGCATCGCCGACGCTATGAAATCAGCAAAAAGGGGCGTCGGAGCCCAACTACCTAGAAAGTGTCAGGGAGGAACGAAAGCCACTGTATCCAGTCATGAAACGCGCCAGGGATGAACACAAAACGTAAAATTCATTGGGGGAAAAAACTTTTCATTGAGGGAGAAGAGTACATACCAGACATTCCGATGGAATAGGGAAGTCGGAGAAAGGAGTCTTCTTTGAATATCTTGTGTTGGAACATAAAACGGTTTTAGAAGGAAATTATGTGATTCGGAACTTTTTAGAGTTCATTCAAAATATATGATCTAGTGTTTTTAAAATGAAAAAATGTGGTTATCAAAAAATGAAAATATTAACTTGGAATAAATAATTATAGTTGTGAACATTTATTTGGAAATAAATCAGTGAAATACAAAAAAGGACGCTATAGTGGAGGTATTAGTTTTTATTATAAGACTTATCTTAAACAATATATTAAGATTATTGATAAAAAATCAATATGGAATATTATGGATTAAGGTATCAGAACAGTTATTTCCCTTTAATGAAGATGTATATCTCTGTCATGTATATATACCGCCTCGTTTATTCTAAAGTATTGCCTTCTGTAGATTTTGATATTTTTGATCAATTAGAGTTAGATATTATTAAGTATAACACTTTAGGAAAAATATATATTACTGGAGACTTAAATAGTCGAACGTCCGATTATTTAGACTATTTTTCCTTTGATAGATATATTGATAAATATTTGTCTATGGTAAATACATGTGACATACCACCGCGTGTAAACAAAGATCACGTGCTCGAATTTCAACGGTAGGCGATTATTAGATACATGTCAAATCACAGGACTACTTCTTGCAAATGGCCGTATGTTAAATGATTATGGAAAAGGCGAATATACCTTTTGTTCAAAAAATGGTCAAAGTACTGTTGATTATTTATTACTTAATTTCAATGACTTCGATACTTTGTCGAATTTTGAGATTTTTAGAACAAAATGAACCATTCCGATCATAATCCGCTTTTTGTTTAGCCTGTATAGGAAATCATATGATTGTAGGCAGACGCCCACTGCGCAAGAATTACGATGATAGTTACACGAAATAGTCTGGGACGACAGTAAACTGGACAAGTTTCGCGCACGGCTCATTAATATTCATGACGACTTAAATCGGTTAGCCAAATCAGGCGTCGAGCGAGTCAGTCCAGCGTGTAGTTGACGAGTTTACCGATATAATGTATAGAACTACTTTCGATATCTTTGAAGGGTCGTTGTAAACAAATCGCCATACCATAATATAAAGAAAATAAAAAATGGTTTGATCAAAGTTGTTATAATTCAAAAAGGGAATTTAAAACAGCGCGAAATTTTATTCAATAGAAAAGTAGAGATAATGAATCTCGGTGCAATTTCGTGCGTTGTAGGACACGAAAATAATAATATTAAGAGAAGGGCTAAATATAATTTCAGGGTAAGGGAAGGTAAAAAAATTAACGATTTAGCAAAAAAGGAACCTAGAAAATTTTGGAAAAAGATAAAAAAGAGTGTAAAGAAAACATCTCCACAGGCGGACACATTAACTACAGACAATCTGTATGATCATTTCAAGACTCTGTTTGGTGAAAGTCATTTAAATAATAACGATCAACCAGATTTCTCGCAAAATATATTATGTAATGATTTGGACAAGGACTTTTCCGAAAGTGAAATTCGGTCAGCTGTTTTCTCTCAAAATAATAATAAAACCCGGGAATTGATAACTTGCCCGGTGAGGTTTTTAAGGCGTCATATGAATATATTTCACCGTTTTTACTTGCACTTTACAACAGAATTTATAGTAGTGGTGAGTACCCTACATCTTGGGGTGATGGAATAATAACACCGCATTTTTAAAAAAGGTGATGCTAACGATGCATCAAAATTATCGTGCTATAAATTTGATAAATATTGTAGCTAAAATCTATTCGCAGTTATTACTTAATCGTATTACAGACTGGAGCAAAAAGTATGATAAATTAGTACCAAATCAATTTGGGTTTCAAAAACAGAAATCTATAACTGATTGTATGTTTATTCTTCAATCTGTCATATCAAAGACGCTTAACGCTGGTCAAAAATTGTGCACTATATTTATCGATTATGAGAAGGCTTTCGATAAAATTGATAGGTCCTATTTAATGCACAAACTTTTGGCTGAAAATGTTAGTTGTAAAATGGTTAAAGCAATTAAAGCGATGTACACCGTAGTGAGATCATGTGTAAGGTATAACTTTCAACTTTCGGGCTTTTTCGACTCGAACATAGGTCTGAAACAAGGTGACCCGAGCTCGCCTCTTTTGTTCATGCTCTTCGTAAACGATGTAGTCGAAAATATAAATGCAAATCTTGAAGGAAATTTTTACTGTAAATGAACTTAAATTATTTATACTACTGTATGCTGATGACCAGGCCATTTTTGCGACGTCGCCGGAAACAATTCAATCCATTTTAAACGATATAGAAAATTATTGCACAACGTGGGGGTTAAAAATAAACACATCTAAAACAAAGGCTATGATATTTGAAAAGGGGAGACATACTACTTATTATTTTTATGTAAATAATGAAGTTATAGAAATAGTTAATTCTTTTAAATATCTTGGCTTAACTTTTTTTTAAAAATGGAAATTGGTATCGATCACAGAAATATATTGCGCAGCATGCTGGCTATGCGCTACACAATCTTTTTACAATATTAAATAACGTAGAACTGCCAATATATCAGAAATGTAAGCTATTTTGATTCATTGGTATCGCCCATCTTAAATTTTGGATCGGAAATATGGGGTATGCACCCTGCTAACGATATTGAGCATGTTCACGACGAAATTCCTGCGCCGTATGTTAAGTGTAAAAAAATCTACAAACTTAAATGCACTCTATGGAGAATTAGCTAGAATACCTATGTCCGTAATTCGTAAGATTAATATGATTAAATATTGGGTGAAAATATTAATCAAGATGAGTCGTCACTTTCAGAAAAAGGTTTACATTATGTTGAAAACTGATTGCGAGCTAGGTAATGTTAACGAGGGTAACTGGGCGTTTCAAATAAAGAGTATTTTGCAAGAACACGGGTTTCTCTATGTGTGGTTGCAACAATCCGATATATACACACAAATACCCTTTTTGGAGATTAAACAACGAATAATTGATAATTTTCTCCAAAGATGGTATTCAGAGGTGGTTAATTCTAGACGTTTAGAAACATATAGTTTATTTAAACACGCTTTCGAAAGAGAAACGGTATTTGGAAAGTTATAACTGACCAAAGGTTTAAAAATGCTTTAGCCCGCTTCAGAACCTCTTCTCATAGACTTAATATAGAAATCGGAAGATATAACAATGTGCCGCGAGATCAAAGGGTCTGTTTATCATGCAACATGAATATATTAGAGAATGAATACCATTTTCTGTTAGTTTGCCCCAAATATAGAGAACTAAGGCGTAAATATTTGAAGAACTATTATTGTCACTGGCCTACGTTAACGAAATTTAAAAATCTTATGTCTTCTACATCAAACGCAACTATTATAAGTTTGTCGAAATTTATATATTTTGCAACAAAATTACGTGTCTCCTAATCATAACTTTATGTACATGAATTGCTTTTTTTTAGGTAAACAGAGATATACATCAATACACATCATTATACTGTATAGTTTAAATTTAACACAGTGTCGCCGTATAGTATTGTAATTGTTTATGTTATCACATAAAATCTTTACTTCGTAAAATGTTTAGAAAAAATACTATGTATTTGTCTTTACAGTACTCTTCTGTAAATGATATAAACATGCATGTCTTTCTATTGTCACTGAACTGGTTATATTTTGTATGGCTATAAACTTGTTATTTGTTTTATGCCAATAAAATTATTTGAGTTGTTGAGTTGAGTTGATTTTTATAATCCTAAAAGGCCATTTTCCCATGATGTCATGCATACTTGTAATATTTAAAACTAGCATGATGTAACTGTATAAGATGATGTACGGACATAATCCCCTTCGGACAAAATCCCCTTCGCATACCCGGACAAATCCCCTCCATAGGTGGACATAATCCCCTTCATGTTTTTGCTAGGCTGGACAAAATCCCCTTGTTTCATAGGTTTCTAATGTATTATTTTGCTCCATAAAAATTGATGAATAATGAACTTATAATTATGTATCAAGTTAACCTTTATAATTAAATAAGTTTGATAAGACATTTTTTTTGTTTAGATCAATTATCAACCAAATTATCATTAAAAACAATTTAATTAGTTTAGCAGTGTTCATTATAATTGTGGTAAATTATCAACTGCATAACAAATATAATCAAAGTTGAATAATAAGACAAAGTGTGTTTTTCATTATTTTTGAAGTTTTAAAAGTCAAATCATCAATGCTTTAAAACAATTCTTATTATTTCAAAAACACTACAAGCACCCTCATACCGATCGGAATGATCGGCTTTTATTATGACCGACTAAAAGGCTCGAGAAGTTGCTGTCGCCCTTTCACAAAATCTGATTTCATTCCATAAAGGGGCGCCGCGCTTCGGCGCGGACGCCAATTACAACTCGTCTATAAATTCTGAAAGATAGTGAGGAAAAAATGAATTGTGCAACACTGTCCATCTAGCACAGGCCTTAGCAGTATAGAACTGTCGAAACAAATTATATTCCCGAATATAAAGTACTA